TCATTTACAACATCAAATGTTCGTACTCTTGGTGAATACTATAAACTCTTGAAGTGTTTAACATTTGATTTTTACTATCCTATATATGATGAGTTTAAAAATTATTGTTACTTCAATATTAGTTTTCAAAAGAACGAATCATTTCTGCTTCATGATTCTTTTGAGACTTTCGTTCATTTTGATACATAGAATACAATAAAAAAAATGTTTATTTTATAGAACTTTTTTCTAACAGATTTCTACCGATCTTTGAGTTTAAAATACGCCTGTGATAGTTGTGACTAAACCTTTTTATAGACCCTGTGCAAACAATATTTTTATATGTTCCAATTTAAAAATTAAAAGGCAAATTTATATCTAAAATTTAACTATTGCTTACTTACCAAATCTTTGCATTTAATACGAACTTTTTGATTAGTAATTAAATTTTGTATTATTACATCAGTCATATTTTCTCTATATGCATATCTATCTCCATATAGTCCATGTATGACATCCCAAGATAATTGTAAATATGTTATTATACCATCTTGACAACCAAGAGCCTAAATAAGAAAAACAAACAATTATGTAGTTTATGTATTAATCTTAAGTGTTAAAGTAAACAGAAACATAAAGGTTTTGAAACAAAAAGTATGAAATTAAAAAATAAGTAGAAATTAAGACTTTTCAATCCATACAATATGTGTAGAAGTAGGATGTACAGCACAACTCCAAACCCAAGAAGAAAATGTACCACCAACATTAATTAATTGTATTCCATCATATGTCATTAGTACACACTGTTTATTACTTCCACAAACTAAAATGTATTGACCTCCTGCAAAGTTACACATTTTAAGAGGAATAAAATTAAGTGACCTATCCTTTCCAAATGGTTTGCCCGAAATTGAATAAAAAGATATTGTTCCATTCCATTCTGCAATACAAAGAACATCTGCTGAATCCTCCCTGAAATATAATTCATTACTAAAATTTATTATTTATTTATATACAGAAAAGCTTTAACTATTATTAAGTACATGATTTAACAAATATAGTTTATTATAATATATTTAAAAGTTCTACAAATTTTAACACAAATAATTATATCACAAATAATTATTCTTCTTACCATTGACGATTCCAAAGTAAACTCCAAATAGGTATTCCATTTTGTCTCTCAATTCGTGTTTGCTCTTCTCCATTCTGAAATATTATATAATAAGTCAAATACAATTTATACTAAATTTCTTCAATATTTTTAATTGAGAATTCTAAATAAATATATATATCATCAGAAGTAATACAATTTGAATATTAATGTACTTAAAATTAAAAAATTTAATAAAATTTGAATAATAAAATAACATATTTGTTGTGCTGTAATTTTTAAATGAATAGAACAAACTTTATTTCTAATAGAAACATAGCCAGATGCTAGGCCAATTGCTAAATATTGACCATCACTTGTCCAAGCACAACAATTTACTCTTCCTCTAGATTTTTGTTTTACAACTGCTTTTTGTTCTGGAGACCAAAATGCTATGTCTGACAAAGAGCAACTTAAAAGTTGATGTGATACTGGATTAAATTGCATAGCTTGAACGGCTTCATTATGTCTGAAATATAATAACATAAATATAATGTAATTAATAAATTATATTTTATATTACATGAAAATCAGAATGTTTTATATATGTTTCTACCAATTCTACCAATAATTATGATATTGTACAAAATAGTTAGGATATCATGTTATAAAAATATTGTTACTATATTAATTATAAAATTTTCAAAATACATATCACTTACGAATATTTAAGTATACCCTCCAATCGTGATGTCCAAATGATAACACTTTTATCTGCACTACCCGATGCAAACTTTTTACCATCCCTTGCATAACATACACAATAAACTATATCTTTATGCCCTGTCAAATATAAGTAGAAATATAATCTATATTTCATTGAATTAGATTTTTGATATTTAAATTCATAGATTTCATTACCTTTCAATGGTTGGATTAAAGTTCCTTCATTAGTTTCATAAACAAGAACTTGCTGTCCAGCAGCAATAACTAATTGAGTTCCATCTGGATTAAAACATAGATCATAAATACTGCAACAATGTTGTTAAATATCAATATTCTTGAATATAAAATAATATGAAATAATAATAGGTAATTAAAGATACAACATTAATTATATTTAATTATTAACATTTTCAATAATACAAGAATTTTAGTGTTTATGAAGAAAAAATGTTTAATCTTAAATTTATATATTTAAATTTGAATATCGTAAAATAATAAATAATATAATCAAAATAATATCAATTTTATAAAAACAGTGATTAACGCTTAAATTAAACGATATTAATATTATTTAAAAAATGTAAAAACGTAAGTATTTCTTATTATTTATTTAAAAAAATTTAAAATTACTTTAAAATTATGTTATACTCCCAAAAATTATTTTTACCATCGTTCAGATTTATCTTGAACCTTATCAACCCAAGTTGGAGAAGCTTTCATTGTTATTCTTTTATAAATGATGTACTTTTTAATACAATTTTAAGAAATTATTTCCATCATTTTCATACAAAAGTTTGTTTTTATGGTTTCCAGGGAAACTATTAAAATGGCGACATATATGGAAAACTATACAATTTTGCTTCATTTTCTATACACGCCAAAAAAATTAAATTAATAAATAAACAAATAATAATTAATAAATAACTTTCAAATATTAATCTAAATATTTCATAAGTACATAACAAAATTGAATGAATTATGATGAATTAGATTTATTCGACAGTCAAAATATAAAATAAATTTTTTAAATTTATTCTGTAATTTATATTATAATAGTGTAGGGTCTAATTTAGATATTTATTAATACAATAAATATCATTTAAAACTGATTCCGTCAATCAAATCTGTCAGATTTTTAAAAAAGTTACTATAAGTTTTGTCATCAAAATGTTATCCAAATTTCATGTAAGATCTAGTTATTAAATTATGTTAACGTATTGGCATTACGCGTATATTTTGACGAGTTTCTGGATATTTATCAATATTTTCCCAATGCATATTGATATTTCATCTTTTTTTTATTGAAAATTTTTCTGGGGACATCTAGGAATATGTATATTTTTTCATTTGTTGAAATTTAGATACCAAACAAAGTTATACAATATTCTTGTTGTAATAAAGTACTATACGAATACTTCTTACACTGATTGTAGTTAATTTAGAATTTTACCATGTAGTTTATTATGCATAGAAATGTTATTCAGAGTACGACTTGGACCAGCATCCATATTATCAATATACAAATATTCTTGAAAAGCAATTTATTTTTCTAATCTTTTCCAAAAGTTTCATATTTTAGCATCAATAAGAAATATAGATTAGATAGAAGAAGGTATTTGAAAGCGTTTCTGCTATTTTTTGCAAAAAACAAAATTTGGTAAGATGTAGAATGTGTGAACTAATTGCGATGATTTTAAAATATATTATAGAGGTTGAAATTTAGGGCAACTTTTATTTCAGCAATGTTGGTACTTGATCCTAGTTTTCGAGATATTTGCAAAGTTATTGGTACTACTATATTAAAGCTGGCTGTTTACACATGTACTTTGTGCATAGATAGATCGAATACCGTGACACGTGTGCGGCGTCACGTTAGTACCTTAGTCTACTGTGGCCCAGGGAATTTCAGTGGAGGTTTAAGGCACGGAGAATTAAACACGAATTGCAAAATAAATAGACTTTATTAATAAGAGATGAAACAGACACGAAGAGCGAGGCTTGGCTGAAACTGTAGTGGTAGCAAATGAGGTCAGGCTCGCAAAGGCTTGTGTAATTAGAGGCTAGACTGGTGAAAAACTAACCGAGGCAGAACTGACTATGGCAGAAGCGATCACGACAGAAATAGCCATGGCGAAACGTTAGAAGGCAGCACGTAGCGCAAGGATTTACTTGCATGCATAGTGCTGCCGCCTTCGGTTGGCACGGCAAGGCTCGAGGAACGTAAAATTTAAAATTTAATATTTCAGCTTTCGTTAAGTTTCAGCATAATAACAACACATAGGTGGGTAGTGTTTTCGAAAATGGCTTAACAACAGTTACCAGAATATCTAATAAGAAATATGTAACTCAATTTAAAAATTGAAACGTAATCGTCATAAAGCTTTTTAAGATCTCTGTAAGATCAAATAAATATAGGCATTGTATGTATCCTTTAGTACCCCACAACTTTTGTCTCAAATATATTCACATTTTTTGAGATATATATAATACCAAATAAATCACATATGCTGTGTATATATACATATATAGAGTGATTCACTTGGTAGTGAACTCAAAGGCAGTATTACCTCCGTCTAGATATTGCCACATTGTAGCAGAAATCCTGTGCTTGTACGATAATTTGAATGGTGTTGATTGCATTTGAGTACATATATGTGCAAAGTGTGATTTTAAGGTTTTCTGCTTAGATGATATTGCCTAGTCATTTAAATCATATTACAGTATATTATTTAATCATTTAAATCATAACCTTTATATATTAGTAATATAAGAAACTTACGAATAGAAACTAATTTAAAAAAATTGTGTTTTTAATATAAATGTTCTTTTAACCCTTTCGCGCTGGCGGAACTGGGTATCAATGTGGCACCGGTGTAAACAGTGTTTCACATTTTCAGATATAAGCCAGATGTAATCTGCGCTAGCCACTAGGTAAAACTTTTTAATTGCCGGCTATAATCGGCGGTAGCTGTGAAAGGGTTAATAATATACCCTTAATATTTAGTAAATGTAATGTTCTAATTATATAATATATAACAATAAGTCTTTATATTTTTTTATAAATATGATTAAATAATAATATAATTAGTTTTTTACATTAATTAAATATAATATACCAACAGAATTTTATTATTATGAAGTAATGATAATCATATTCTGATAGTACTATAATTTTTATTATAAAAAGATTTATTTACATTTATTAAGAATCTGCATCAATTTTAGAATGTAAAATGTTCCAAAATAAAAACCATATAGGAAATATTGTAGAAACTGTTACGTTATACAACCAATTTCCATAAATCATTGAATCCATAATACTGAAAACCAATGCTTGCTTAATAGCACGATATCCATGGAATAAAATGGACAAAATGGAATTTGAAGAAAAATTGATATATGCATAACACATTATGAATAAACTTGCAATCATAAATGGATGTAAAAGAATCCACATAAAAGATAACATTTTGTGAAACCTGCAACAAAATTTTGTTATAAAGTTTAATACTAATTATTTAAAAAAATATTTAATTTTTTAAGTATACTTACTTGGTAAAATTTTGTTTTGGTATTACTGGTAAAATGACAGGTACATAAATTACAGCAGCAAGAAGTGCCAGAGAAAAATTATGCATTGCTATACACATTAATACTGTACCTAATTCTACTAAAGCAATTACACAAATTAAAGCTGCAGTTTTATATTTCATTTGTCTAAATGCAATAAAAATTTATTTAAGTATAATTTGTAATTATACAAAGTAATTGGTTAACACTTAAATTACCTTCTAGAATAGAATGGCCACATTATGGTTAAAATGGTTATTGCCACGAAACCAAAATATATAGAATCTGCTGTATGGAAATTCATTTTTCTACCAAAATAAGTAAGTGGATGTGGGCATGTTAAAATCGCAACACCGCAAATATGAGCCCATAATATCTCTGAAGTAATAATGCCAATATCGAATCCATCATCCTAAATAATATATTTTATAATTATATAATCAATCTAAGGTACATATAATAAATATGTAAAGATGGATCCACGAGTCTTTCTTTTTTGGGACAAACAGAGGCAAAATTTGTACATGGTACATGATTTTTTAATCATATTTTAGAAGAACTAAAATTTGTTGTAATTTATATTTTAATATTTCTATCTGACCATAACTTAAATAAGTATATGTGTATTGATTACTTGTACATTATAAAAAATCAGAGTAATCATAGTGAATGTAAATAAATAAAATATCCAACATAATATTTGTTAGAATTATTTTCTTGGACACGAGACGATCCCCCCGACCCATTCGAATTCATCTCTATAAACGTATTATTTACTCTAATTATAAAAAGATACATACATACCAATCTACGAATTACCTCTATGTTTTTCATTATAATACATGATTAATTTTTAGTAAATAATTTACTTCTGTATAAGTTAACAATGTGGTAAAAAGAAACAAACCTTTGATTGTTTAATGGTAGTGTTTTTCGTATCTTCTATAGAATTAGATGCTTGAAGCCTTTGCCACATGCAAAATGCTTTTATAAATATTCCCGCAATAATTAAGACTAATGATCTTATATAAAGTCCTAAAATATATTTTCGGTATTAATTATTTATATTATTTATATTACATACAAATAAGCCTTTTATATGATTATTTAATAAAATGAATTTTCTATTTTTAATATAGTATCTTTGTAAATTTATGAATAATTTCTCAACAATAAAAAATAAAATATTCATTAGCGTATATGTATGTATTTTTTATTTTATCATATAATTCTTTACTCACCAATAGAAATATAAGTATCAGTTGAAGGAAGCAGATAAAAAAAATAAGATTGATGAAAACGTTCTAATAAATTATTTAATGATCGAACTATACTTTCTACAACACGACCAACTTGGTAAAAGTTTCCATCTGAACTTTGTTGACGAGGTTTTTCAAAACCTTCTAAGGTAATTGCTTCAATACCAAATCTGTAATAATATTTATTAAAGCCATTTATAAAAATCATTAAATCGTGAAAAAATTATAGCAGTTAAAATAAAATCAATTTTTATTAAACAGTAAAATAATTTATATTTCTGTTATTTATTTTAAATTAAACGAATATTTAAAAGAGAACTAATATACACTTTTGTGATATTTTTTACTATTTAGAAAATAAAACACATATATATACATGAAGATAATTTTTAATTACACAAATATTATAAATATTGTGTATGCCATTAATGTCAGTAATATTAATTATTCTATATGGAGAAGGATGAAACAATAAAAATGTTCATTTTTGTGATTTTACTGTGTATATCACATTTTGTGGAACTTATAATACATTAGAAAATGGAAAGATTTTGTGTATTAATTATAAATATAGTATGTTTATTGGAATAAAACAAATGTAAAATGACTCTTCTTACTTCTATTATTTCTGATTGATGTAAGTTTATATTATATTAGTAGCAATTAAGCCTTATTTATAACAATTGAATGAGAAATTCATTTTCTCAGTATCATTTCTCAATTCAAGTATCAAAATATTTATAAAATGTAGAAGTATATATTTCTTATCCTCTTTTAATATTCCATAATGTTCAATTTTAATCTATTAAATGTTATTTCATTAATAATAGATTAAAGTATTAAAAATTGATTTTATTAATTGTATAAATGCATATATATTATAAATAACAGATTAATAATAACTTTCATAATTTTTGTATAGCTTTTAAATACCTGTGGAAAAGTCCATGATTTCCTGTTGGAATTCCAGTAGCCTGACTTGTAATCATCATTAGAAGTGTATTGAAATGATACCACCAATTTTTGAATTTGTTTTTATATTTAACATCAAAACGTTTCTGAAATGATTGACGAATTCCTTCCTTTGCTATCATATTTTGTGCCAAATTAAAAAGGTCTAAATTGGGCAATCGTCCATTTAATCCTTCTACCTAGAGAATAATGAAAATTTATATTAGTAGACTGAATAGTATGTCAGAAATTTCTTGCTCAGCTCGTTAATATTTAGCTTAAATATAAATTTTAATGTTGTGAAATACGCAAACTTTTAGTTTTATTAAACTCACAAATAGTTAATTACAAAAGCATTTACAGTACTGGAAAACATAGTTCGCCAATTACTTGCGAATAAGATAAAATACATAGTTATATGTTTGAAATATATTTTATATTGTTTAGTTTAAAATTATGTAAATATATATAAATTTATAATTTGTAAAAATATATAAATGTGTAATGAAAAAATTTATTTTAAATTATTATAGATGGAAAAATATTTCTCACACTTTAGCATCAAAAGAAGATTTTTTTGACAACAAATTGTTTGATGAAGACAGAAATTGGTTGTTGCAATTATAGTGTCATTTACTGATAAAAATTCTTAACTGAAATTAGAATGTTAAAGATTATTGTTAATTTTACTATTTTATTGTGTAAAAAAGATTGAAAAATTATTTTTTGTAATAAAATCTGCTAAAAAATACAATGTGTATATATAGTGTATTTCACTTATGTCTGTATAGCACAATATTTTATAACAAATTATAGTTATAATAAAAGTGTTTCTACCGAAGTTGTTTGATATGATGGAATATATTGCATGATATTAATAATTGTTTGCGAGTGGAGTGGAATAGAGGTACTTCTAAAGTTATGTTCTATTTTCTATTTTCTCAAATAGGACCGTATATCTTTTTAGTTGACATTATAATGGCAGGTTTCATGAGAAATTCTGTGACTTGCAATTTAATGTAATAAGTCATAAATTTAAACTATGAAAATTAAATGAAATCTAGATACAGATACATGGCTTTGTTAATATAAGTCATTAAAAAAAATTAAAAGAAAAATATAGTGCATACTTTAACATCAATAGATGAAATCTTCATTGAATGTAGCTCCAAATTAATAGCAGCTTGAATGGAACCAGCACGACCAGGAAGATCTCCAGATATGAGTACTCCTTCATTACCACTTGTAACTCCATGGTATGCATCCAACCATGCCTGTATTCCTAACTGTTCATGTTCTGTTATTAGAAATATAATATCCTTCGCCCAATATTTCTGTTCTACAATAAAAAATTATTTTAATATATTAATTAAAAAGAAATAAATATAATTTTTAGAATTATATTTTTACTTTTGTATTCATTTTTAAATATAAAATATTTAATAATATTTCATGGAACTACTTACTTCTACAAAATTTGGCAAATGCAAGAAGAAGAGCAATGGAAGGTGCTGTATCCAAATAAATACTATTAATTGGTCTGAAAGGTACACTAACTACAATTGATTCTGTACTGGCAGCTCTTGGAGCTCTTATAATTCCATATATATTTTGACCTGTAAACTATAAATATACTAATTTTTATACTTTTATCAAACATTTTATCTCTATTCAAATTCCTTCCTTCATTGAAAATGATAAAAAAATGTCAATTTAATAATTAATTAAGTGTAGTACTTAGAATACCTTCTGATAAAAATAAAATATATACTTCATTATTTACCTGTTGGTCTTGAAAGGGATTCACTAACGTGAAATTATGTATGAAAACATCTAAATGAAGCTGATTTAATTTAGCAGCTAACCATGCATATGGCATCACATCAGGATACCGTTTCATTTCATGAAGTAAGTATACATAATATTGTTTTGCTGTTTGCTCTAAATTACTTTTCTTTGTAACTAAGCCAGGTAATAAAGCATTTTCGGAGAAATAAGTATCTATATGTTTAAAAAATAGACACATTATTTAGAATCCTTATATTAATATTGTTATAAATATTTGGTGATAATCCATATAATACATATAACTTCAATTTACTTTTTAATATTTTTTGGAAATAAAAAATTAATGATATGGAACTATTATATATCTAGAAAAGGGACAAAAATATAATACAAATAACAGATTTTTATACAAAATGAAAATAAGCAGTTTTTTATTGAAAGTTGTTATTGAAACAAAAAATATTTGAAAACTAATCAATTAAATAAATGTGTATTATTAAAATAATAACTTAAGGAAATAAATTAATATAATTAAAGCACACTTTAAAGCATACTTATTAAGAATAAAATATTTGCTACTTGATAAATTTGTATATCTTTATGACAGAAACATAAAAGAATGGCTTTTTTCATAGAACAATGACTGTTTAACTTTTTATTGTATATATATACAGGGTGATTTGAACTGAATTATTGAAGGATATATAAAAATTATTGAAATATACAAAATATGTTGATTTATAAATGTATGTTATAATAAATTAATTTTACAGAAAATAAGACAAAGATAGAAGTTTTCTTAAAGTTACAATTTTGTTTTAATTTTTTATAAAAATTGAGTTATGTTTGTACTTTTCTCTTTTAACAGAAAATTTTATCGAAATTAAATATTTCGAAAAATTACATATTTATGTCAAATTATTCTAAAGGTATTCTATACTTTGTATCAAATTTTTTTGATGTATTTAACACATAAAATAAAATGTCTATACCTTTTCGAAAAATTATTGTATAAACCTATTTTATTTAGATATTATGCCTTGAAAATATTCGATTCTTCATTTAGAACTATATATGTATAATTTTATAAGATATAGATATTATTTTATTGTAATACTAAATTTTGTTTTATTTATGTTTGTATGTACTTAATGAAAATAATCATCATTTATGATATTTATTATCGACGCAAAACATAACCTATTTCATTTTATTTATGTAATAAATACAATTTTATACTTACTATCATTAAACATCGGTAAAGCAAGAAGTAATATCCAAACAATGCCACTTATATATAAAAAGAAACATAGTGGTTGTTCCCATTTTAATAAAAATTTTATTATTTTTCCAGATCCCGCTCTTGGATCCGTCAATAAAGCCATTGTCGGTTCTATTCATTAAAACTACATATGCGTATGTCAAACTTAACCATGATTTATCTAATAAATTTTATTGCATCCATATTACATAAAGTAGAAATTATATAGAAATCATCAAGTATCGATATAATATAAATAAAAATGGATATATTAAAGATAAATAAAATTTGTTTTACAAATGAGTGAAATATATAATGCACAGATGAAACAACGTGTTATAATTATATAAAATTATGTTATGATGATATATAATATAAAATACAATGTATGTAATATGAAACAGTACAAATTTATTGACATTTTTAAAACCCTATTAAAATTCGCGCCTAAGTTCATACAGTACCTCCAGAGAGTGTTAAGGCACATACGTATGCTATTATGCGACATTTATAAAATAGTGCATAGAGTTGACTTTCTGAAGTATTATACACTCTAAATTCTTTGATGTTCAAATTGTACTGAATAACTTTTTATTTTTTTTCAAAATTTTGATTAATTTTGAAGAAATTGAAATGAAGAAAATTGAAGCTGAATATTGACTCTATATAATATATAAAATTTCTTGGTTATAACAAAAATTAGTATAATTTACAGAATAATAGATTATTTGAAAAAAAAATATCAGCATATTCAGATACTTATTTTATTTTTTTTTTTTTTGTTTTCATTTGTGTTCGTGTTTTTAGTGTTCATTCTTAGAAACTGTTAGTGAAGTAAAGCAAGTACATTGATATTTTGTAAATGATACGAGTTACTAATCATAGCAGCAGTTAATGAATATAATCAGAGAAAATAATTTTAATGCTAGTTAATATTTGAAACTTAATGTATTATTTGGTAATACATTTTTGTATCATAAAGTACGGAATAGACTAAACGAATTTTTGTTATATATTTCGGGAACTCTAGACCAGGAACTTACTATATTATTGTCATCTTTAATATTACTGATTTAGTATAAGATAATATTACAACGTCTATAACAAATAGTTGAAGTTAAAACCAAAATTTAATATGAGATTATAAATAACGTATACAATAAAATATTTTATTTTATAATCGTAAATGAAGTATAGAATTATATATATTTATGTATGATAATACATAATCTTATACATATGTATCGTAAAATTTTTAATTTATATTCTAAACCTTAATTTACGAAATATTTACCAAAAAGGATTATTACTTTACATTGATTTTTATCTATAGGTATATATAGCATACAGCATACTTTAGCTGTTACTTATATATCTACTGTTTGTATAAATAGAACTCGATACTTATATATAAAGGGTGATTTTAAAAATCGAATTTGTTCGTTTTCGATGATTTCTTATTCTGAGATACGTTGTTGGCTGCATAACAACAATTAAAATATTATAGCCAAATCTAACTTTTTCTAATATACATGCATATATACCCATGCATGCATAGGTGAATGCCGTGACTGACGTTTACACAGTCCAAGTCGTTTATGTATAAGCGAAAATTAATCTGTGTTGCAGTAAAACCTCGTATGCATATTATCAACGAATATTTTTTCGATCTAATCGAACTAAAAACTGCTTCGGCAATCTTGTTGCATGATTTTCTCTTCAAAAAGTTGATAGAATATAATACTGTGTAGCAAATTCGTGCTGAAAAGAACTTTTTGTAAAAATGCAAGAATAGTGCGCAAAAGTATATACGCCCAGCTGTTTATTTTTAAACTTTGACGATCAACTATAATTATCCAGAAGCATAAATAATTATAATTATTAACATTGATAAATTCAGAAAACTCTCGTCTAACTTTTAAGATGAGAATGAATGTCCTAACGTTTTCAGATTTCGTGCCATACTTCAGTTCAATCCAAAATCGTGCTTTTACAAAAACATGTTTTTCGAAAGCTGAAAATGATAAAGCAAAATCGTTTAAAGATTCGTATTCAAGAAGGCAAATGCTACAAGAATTATACAATGGATGTTATGGATCAAAGAAAAAAATTAGTTTGTTGATCTAAAGTCTAAAATTAATAGTTTATTTATTTATATTTCGTCATCATCATATGTCATATCAGTGTTATTATAATTTAATCATATAATTAAAATATCATCTATAATATGAAAACTTAATTTTGAACAATGAAGAGACAAAATAAACTTTAAGACAAAAAATAATTGTTCCACGCTAATCTTATTAAAGAAATTTAAAATTACGTTTTCTAAGTTTCTCAATTTATACGATTTGTTGTTATTCTGTCAATATGATAAAATATTAGTTGAAGATTTTGGTGTATAACAGATTCCATCATGAAATCATCTATTTCTCGCTCGATTGCATTGTTTATTGTTGTGCTTATCTGACGTTTTGCTTCTTTATGTATTCATATTTGTTCAAATTTGTTTACTTCAGCAGGCAGTGGACTCAAAAGCAATACCGCCTATTCAGAAAACCTTCACATTTGAAACTTTACAGCTTACACATAGCGCATCAAATGAAATCACTGTATACATTTGTCAAATTTTGGTGCAAAAACACGAGACTAGAGGTGGATATTAGGATTAGGTAACTTTTTATTGTATTTTGGTATAAATGAGAAATGATGCGTAGTGAATGTAGAATGTCTGAGGTTGGTACGAGTGCGAGCGAATGAAGCGGGAGTGTCGGTGTTCAGGACGGTGCGAAGGAAGGGAGGTAGAATGCATATGTGATAGCATTTGCATGTGTCTAACAGTTTAGAAAACATTTAAATTTATTATCTATTGTTAATGAGCTGAGCTAAGTACTCGAAAAAAGCAAACGGTTCGTAAAATCAAGTATTGTGAATTATCTCGGGCAGTTTGAAAATCGAGTAGCTGTCGTTGATGCGTTGTGTCTGTAAAAGATCATCATGTGTCTAGTGTTTCTATAACAATCGAGCTACTCGACCTCTTCGGGTTGTACGGACTTGTTGCATGTGTACTCGACTCACATTAAATGATTGTTTATATTATTGTGATATTCAAACAATATTCACAAGATTATTTTTATTAAATAACTATAATCTAAAATTACAACAAATTCATTGATAAACACCATAGAAGAAATATACAATTTTGTATATTATGTATCAACGTGAACGAGTTAACATATGTACCAATGTAAACAAGAAATATAAAAGATATAGTGTATTAAAAAGAAGGGTCTGAAGTTTTAAGAAACGATTAATCAATGTACATACATATATATGTCTTACAAGCAATCCTCTTCATGTAAAATTAATTTTTGTCATTTATAAACATTCAATACCATAAGTGAGTCGATATATTGCAAACAGAAATTGGTTTATTTGAAGTACATTAGTACGTATAGTACTTATTTCGTAGAGATGAAATAAGGAGTAAGAAAGTAGAAACAAGGAGTAAGAGAAACAAACAATGATTTCATAGGTACTTATAAAAACATAAATTGATGTTATAAAGCTGTTTATCTTTTTCCTTTGACATCTAATTAAAGCGCAAATTTTATGCTAATTGTAACATAATTAAGTTCATTTACCTTGTTCCTTTATTGAATTAGAAATTGATTTTTTTAATATTACAGTCCAGATCTGATTCCTTTAAAAGTTACTGTACATTTAACATTAATAATTTACACGACATCTACAAGCTGCGATCTTTAATTTGTATTTTTAAGAAGTTATGAACGTAAGGTATGTACATAACCTCTCTTACACAATTATGACTGTAGCGATCGCGATACGCATCGCGCGACCGATCCCAGAAACATTGAGAACTTTTGGTAGCCGGGCAGCTGCACGACGTGCAGATTACGCTGGTGTGCGTGTCTCGGAACGAAGTTAGAAAGATCAGAACCATCGAGAATGTTCCGGGGCACGTATCCTCAGCGAAAGCAAAGAACAATCGGGTGTGCACGTGCATACATAAATATGTATTAAAAGTGGCCTCTCGATCGCCAAGGATATGGGATCGCTGGAAAATGACATGAAATATCCTAAAATGACATGTAAGCGAAAACACGTTGAATTCGAATTTAAGGGGGCAGGACAGTTTGACGCGTTTAAAAATTAGTGATACTTTAAAGAAACATCGGAGAAAAAGTAACCGCTTGATTAACCATTAGCTGCCACGATTCTCATTTAGGGATTTTGGAATTTTACGTACATTATTCGGCGCCAAAAATATATTTGGTACGTCTGACAATTTAGTTTTATCCTATATATATCAGTCAATATTGTTTGTAGCAAAAAGTGTGTATTCTGTGCTTCGTTTCTATACAACAAGTGAACAAATTTGAAATTCGTGTGTAAGTTGAACGGAACAGAATTATCATATTTGAAGCATTATATTTTTGGTTTGGTTTTTATATTATAATGAAATATCGTACATAAATATGTAATTTAGAGGTTATAGTATGTATAAGATAACGCATATAATAAAAGAAATAGTTTCTTATTAGTTTTCTTTTATGCAACCTGCCACAATCCCCATTTGGGACTTTTTCAAAAATATCAAATATTTTCAAAACAAAACATAATTTGAATATAATTATACTGTTACACAACCTTTTGTACATATATATAACATATCCGGCCAAATATTTCAAAAAAAGATATTTGGCAGTTAATGGGTTAATATAAGCTTTTGTGACTAGTGTCAACATATTACAAGCTATGTAAAACAACATTAAATTTTCTAAAAAAGTCATCATTGACGGCAGTAATTTTTTTCATGTCCTCTCACAGACGATAGACGAAAATCTGTACCAAGTTCGTATAAACAAATGTACTACAAAAATTGAGTCATAGTTCTTCCTTTTAACGAATAAATACATATATCATAAGTAATAAAGAAATACAAAATATGACTGGTAATGGTTAGCAATAATTGTTTCAGAAAATATGTTTTATCGTAGTTTTAGAACTAAGTGAATGGTTTGAATATTTAATTTTATTTTATGAGCCGAATCATTATTGAAAAGAAAATGAAAATATAGTTATTTGGGCAAATAAAGTTTGCA